ATTATATTATTATATTATTATATTATTATATTATTATATTATTATATTATTATATTATTATATTATTATATTATTATATTATTATATTATTATATTATTATATTATTATATTATTATATTATTATATTATTATATTATTATTATATTATTTTATTATATAAATTTTATAATATAATAAATATATTTTTGATATTAATATAATTTTTAAAAAATAATAATTAAAGAATTTGAAATATAAAATAAAAAAATATTATAATAAATTAAAAAATATTGTAATAAATCACAAAAAATGGTTAAAATACAAATAATAAAGATAAAATATAAGAATAATATTATTAATATATATTTGAAACTTGTATATATTTATATTTTAAAAATAAATTAATAATTTTTTACAATATTAAAAATATTATAATATTTTTATTTATTAAAATATTTTTTATCTAAATATTTTTTTAAAAAATATAATTATAAGCAATTAGAAATTAATTTTATCTTATATAAGTTATAAAATTAGAGAAAAATAATTTTATTAAAATTCAAAAAATTATTGAAACAAATCAAAAATTTGATTTTTTTATTTAAAATAAATCAAAAATTTGATTTTTTTATTTAAAATAAATCAAAAATTTGATTTTTTTATTTAAAATAAATCAAAATTTGTTTAAATAAATTTTAATTTTAAATCTTAAATTTACTATATTTTATTATAATAAATATTACTAAAAATAGTAAAATTAATAAATAAATTTAAATTATAAAATTATCTTAGATAACAATTATTATTCATACTTAATTTTGATAGAATATAGTATAGTTAAATCTTTATATAACAAATCTTTGAACTAAAAATTTTTACTATATCAAGTTTTTTTTATAAAATTCACTATATAAAGATAATTTTAAAACAAAAGATCTTTTTTTTCTTTTATTATATTAAGAATCTTATTATATTCAGATTTCGTTATATTGAGCTTTGATTGTAACATGATTGGTAATAAATTAAAAAAAGTTCTAATACAAGAAATCTCTCTAAGTGCACACTCTCTGTATTCTACATGTGCAATAAATTTAACTAATAATAAAATGGAATTTGATAAGTTTTCTCTGAAATTTTATTATTAAGAAAATTAATTTTATTATCGTTATTAAATAATTGATTGAATTAAAATAATTATATTTATCAATACTATTATAATTATATTCAAAAAAGACTGATATTATGTACAAATTCAATCTGTTAATATTTAAGATTTCATTAAAAGCTGAAATATACATGAGCATTTCATGATCAATTACTTGGGAAATCAATATACTGATACATTCTTGCGTTTGCAGATCATTACCAGTATCTTTACATTCAATAATTGTTTTATGTGCATTATTTAGATCCGTCAAAATGAGCCCAATTTTTACTCCAAATTCAACCAAAATGCACTATTGCTCTTCATTTTTTAATGTATGTTATTATAAAAAAAAAAACTTAACATTACTCAGACTTTTTATATACAAAAACAATTAAAATAAGATAATTTTTTTAACAAATATGCAGAATTATTGTCATCATCGTCTAACAGATATTTTTAAGCTGACTTAATAAATGTGATTTTTAATTTTTTTTCAAGTTACCTTATTAAGTTGCTTTATCAAGTCTTAACCTAAAAATTATTTAAGTCCCATCTCTAATTAACGGTAAATCAAAAAAAAAAAGTATAAGTAATACGGATAGCGCACAGTTGCATAATCATTACGTGATCTTATAAAAATTAGATCAGCATTAGCGATCAGTTTATAAACTTTTATTTTTAAAGCATCAGAACTAATTTTTATAAAGACTATAATCTCTGAAGCTATTAAAATTTTCAAAAAAAAAACGCGTAAAGTAGATAACTATTATACAACTATTTATAAAATATCTGATTCAACGAATCATTATCAAAAAAGATTTTTTCTGGGTCGTATTTGGCACGAACTATTTCGAAAGCTTTAACCTGATCACTTAATACCGTATGAAGATATGGTATTATTCCTGGCACGTGTTCCCATTCTTTACCCCAGTGTGGCCTAGTTATCGTTGTAGAAAGATAAATAATTTTTGAAATACAAAAAATCAATTGAACTAGATATATGTAGATTTCTACCTGGCTTGATATTTATCTATCAATCTGTTGGCTATGTCAGACGAAATTTCTTGCCAGCCTGGAGTTCCAAAAAAAGTAATAATTTCAAAATGGCAATATATTGCATTAGGATCGGCATCATATCCAGGAGCCAAAAATGCTTTTGAAGCTTTATTGATTCTAAATTCGGCGACTGAATTCAACGGGAATTTTCCTTGTTTTGCCAATTTTGTGATCTGCAAAAATGAAAATACATGTATGTGAAAAAGATAAAGTTAGATTAAAAAAAAAAACTTACCATTGACATGATATTTAACATCTCGACGTGAACATTGGAAAAATCCGAGTTAACTTTAAACGTAAATTCCAAGTCATTCAAAGGAATAATATCAAGACCAGATTGGAAATGAATAGCATCTTGTGCTTCATATATTTCATCCTTTGTGCTTCTTGTTGGAACTAGCTTATATAACATGTAATTTGTTTTAGGAGTAATTGCCGGATATTTAGCCGTTAGTTGATAAATAGGAGTGAAAAAGTATTTAAGAATGGATTCATCCTGTTGACGTTTTGTGGTAATTTGTTTTTGTGATATTGTTGGTGGATCTTGAGTTCTAATCCATTGTTTTACCCATATCGAATCTTTAGAGGTGTCAATATTTCCTTGATTGAATGGCCAATAGAATACTTCCAGGCTATCTGAACTTTCGTAATAATGTTTAAGGATTTCAGGTTTAAGCCAATCCGTAGCTAATGGAAACGTATCGATCATACGTAAGTTGAATAATGGTTCGACGCGAAATGTCACTGAATATATAATTCCAAGAAGACCTAAAGATTTAAAGATTTCAAATATTTATAATTGATTTTTAGCTGTTGAATGAATTAAGTAATGAAATTTTATTTACCTAAGCTGACTCGTGCTGCGTTCATTTCTTGTGGGTCCTTTTCTTCTGAGAATTCATGTAGCTCACCATCAGCAGTAACAATTTGTAATGAAACTAACTCATCGGAAATAGATGCTCCTTGAATTTTTGCACCATGAGCACCAGTGGAAACAATACCAGATGCTCTGAGTACATTTATTACAGTCATTGAATTCATTGCCAAAGGTGGATTATTGCTTCGAAGTGATTCATCGATTTGTTTTATTGAGGCACCTATGAAATTAAGAAGTATTAATATTTTTTAAAGTATCAATAAATTGGAACCAATTTTTAGATATAATTCATTACCAGCTTCCGCGGTGATAGTCCAACCATACTTTTCACTTTTCTGTACTTGAATTTTCGTTAAATTTTTCACAATAACAAAATAATCTTTCGTGGCCGATAAAGAACTCCATGAATGTCCCTGAGCAGCACATCGAATCTTTTTCCCATTGATTTTCGCATTTTGTACAACATCTTTGAGTTCTTCAAGTGTATTTGGTAAAAAGATATACTGTGGATTATTGATCACAGTGCTAGCCCAATTGCTCCATGTTTTTTCTGAAGTAGACGCAAGTTTTTTGACAAATTTTTCCATCGTTATTCTTGCCTTTTTTTAAAAAATTCTGTGTTTTACCAGGAATGTATTTTTATATTGTATTGGCATCCTTGCATATATGTTTGATTTGATGATGCATCTGAATCTAGCTGATGAATATAATTCTATATCACAATGTGCACAAATTCATTCACAATTTTTTATTCATAATTTTTAATTTTCTAAATTTGTTAATTTTTTTCATTTCTATGACACCCGATTTTGTAGCACAATTTAAATAGAAACACGCAAATTCAATATCGGTACATGTATTTGATTTATATCTACTGTTTAGAACACAACTGTAAAACCAAACGCCCACTTCAATGAGTAGATAAGCTTTTTCAAATGCTGCCTTGTGAAGAAGTCATATGCATGCACACCTCCAGTTACTTTGAAGCGCCCGGCTGGAAGAATATTCTACCGAAATAGTCAAAGGATGTATAAACATCAGGCCAGGTAAAATATATAACTCAAATTTATAAATATTATTAACAAAATGTTTCAAGTTATAGATTCCATCAATTACATCCTAATTAAGAAATTGATCAAATTTATAACATGACATATTGTCGATTTTTTTATACATAAATCAACTTAATTAAAGAATGGAAGAATCTGCAGAAAATTAAAAACTTAATTTAACCTCAATGCTGTTAATTTAGTAATAAAAAATTGCACAGTGAATCTTGCTTTATTCATTTGCAGAAAAATAATTGTGATTACTAAAAAAAATATTAGACTAATTAAAGGTTAGTTTTCTACAAAGGGGAGAACTTTATCTCGCTTTATGATAGTATGATGCCTAGTTAAAAAGTTAATATGGTGCATAACATCTAAACTCATCAATATATTGTATTTTATAAAACGTATAAACTTCTTTACTGAGAAGTAACTACATAATTCAATCCGTGAATATCTCAGAAAGGGCCTATTCTATCATATTCATGGATTAAATTTTGTATTTACTTCTTAACAAAGAATTTATAAAATACAATCTACGTATTGATGAATTTAGATGTTATGCACCATAGAATTTAAAACAAACAATTTATTGTCGTTTGCAGATGACCGCGATCAATCGGAGCTGATACCCTAGCCACGGCAAACAGAGTGACTGTCACATGATTCCGACCCCCGATGCCGGCCATCCGATATGCCTCTTAATTATAATGTATAATATTAAATAGAATTTCGGTTAGGGTTAGGTCGGTGTTGTGATAAAACGTATGGTACAAGTTCTTAAAGAAGTAACGTATGGTGAAAAAATCAATGCGTACAACATACGCATGTATAACAATATGCATTTGTATTCTGTACTACTAAGTATTAGAATAATGTAACAAATTATACGCATATACGCATTAAAATATTTAATTACGATAATAAAATAATAACTATAACAAGTTAGAATAATGCAACAAATTATACTATATATATATATATATGTATATACGCGTCAAAATACACATCCCTACAATAAATTACCGAAAATCCAAAAAAAATCATAGTAAAACATAGTAAAATTGAAATTATCTCTTTATAATGGAAAGTTTATTTTTATTAGTAAATATTTTATATAAAAAAAAAAGCTAAGAACCTGTATTTTAACATATATTTTTTATAGATTTTTTAAATTCAATTTCAGAAATATTTCAGATTGTAAAGTTGGTTATACAAACTTTTTATTAAATTTTAATTATAAAAAGTTTGTATAACTAACTTTACAATCTGAAATATTTCTGAAATTAAATTTAAAAAATCTATAAAAAATATATGTTAAAATACAGATTCTTAGCTTTCTTTTGATATAAAACAAAAAATATTTACTAATAAAATATAATTTTCATTATAAAGAGATAATTTCAATTTTACTATATTTTATTATGCTTTTTTTGAATTTCCAGTAATTTATTGTAGAGATGTGTATATTAATATTTAATAATAAAATAGTAAATATAACAAGTAATAACTATATATTTTCTAGATATTAATACTAAAGATAACATCTTAATTAATTGTAACTTGCAATATTCAATTAGAGAATTGTGAATTAATTGCAACAGCCAATTAGAGAATTGTGATCAAGTTATAACCAATTGTGATTCCATCTTTAATTAATATCATATTCATATGCTTTAATTATAATTATTTAAAAATACATGTACTTCAGATAAATATTCAACATTAAAATAATTTTTTATAAGATTTTCTATAATTTTAATATAAATTTACATATTAAAATAATATAAATTAAGTAATAGAAATTACATCAAGAAAATTAGTATTTGCTTGTTGAATTAAAGATTATAATCTTTCTTTAAAATAAATAAATATTTATATTAATAGTGCAAGTTTTAAAAATTGAATATAACAAAATTATTTATAAATAATATTATACTTGATTATTTGTTTAACTTGATAAGAATATACTTTAATATTAAATAAATATCACAATATTTTTTGAAAAGAATGAGATAAAACTATATAACATTTATTAATTGATAATTAATCTTGATTATCATTATTATTTTTTATAAATTTATTATTATTATTATTATTATAATTATTATTTTATTATTATTATTTTATATAAAAATCTTATTTGATATATATCTTCATAAAAAATCAATATTAATATTATCATTTATTTTTATAAATCAATAAAATTTTTTACTAGCTTATTATCCAGAATAACCAATAAAAAGTTACAAATAAATTATCTTTTGATACAATTTTCATATAATAGAAGCTCCATTACAAAATATATTATTTCTTTTGATCTTGCAAGATATTTCATGAACTGTTAAAAATAATCTAAAATAAAAAAGTAATATATATTAATTTATTAATTAATTATTAATTAATTGAGAATTAATTATAATAAATTAATAAATAATTATGCAAAAGTATTATTATTACTATTATTATTTGCAAGTTCAATATTAATTTTACATGCAAGATCTGAATTAAAATCCACTGATTCGTGTATTATAATATAAAGTTTGATATTGCAAATTCACATATTTTGACTTCAAGACAAGTTCAAGTTTCTTTTTTGACTTTGATACTTTGATATTAAGATAAAAACAAAAAACCACCAGATTTTTCCATTGCATATTGAATCTAATAAATAATAAAAATTAACAAATAATTTTTATTATAAATTAAAATATATACTTATATCTTTAAATGTTGATTCAGTTTTTTCCCAATCTTGAGTATTAAAAACTATTGCAACATCTTTATAACTAGTTGGCGAATATTCCATTGGAGTAAGCATATGATAAATTGTATCAATTATCAAGTTCTTTGTAAATAAGCAATTTCATTATCTTCAGTATTACTATAATCAGAAATAATTGTTTCAATATCACTGTGATCAGAATTAATTGCTTCAATATCTTCCTCATTAAAAACACAATTAATTTGTTATGAATTAGTTAGTTAATATATTGTTTATAATATAAACTTGCTAATATTATATATACAATTTCTTGAAAAGCCAGTTTTTGTAAATATTCATAAAATGTTGGCAAATCAGAGAATGATTGAAGAAAATTATCTTCCATTTTTTCAATAAAGAATAGAAAAAAGAAAGTG